TCTTCAGTTTAACACACATTTGCTTAAGTATGTCAGAAGTAATTGGAAATCTTGGCCTGACTGACTGTTTTTGTGAACGTTTAACCGACTTTAGAAATAAAGAGAGTCGAACCATTGATTTGTGGTCTCTGTCTGATGATTGAAAGGGTGAGGGAATATCGTCCTTGAGACACATGTATCTAATACCACAAATATACAGCTTAATAGTAGAATATTGTAACTTCAGAATTTGAAAACAATGACCAACAAAATAAATTAAAAGTTCTTCAGAAATGGGAGGTAATTTGTTCCCATTCAGGTTGACCCCATTTAAAAGTAAAAATGTTTTGAAATGGTTATATCCTGTTTCATAAACAGCTCTTGTCCTCATAGCTACTGCATTAGACCATAGTGTGTTGACTGTGTTTGTTAAGACCACATTACTTCTGACACACTTGGGCATATATGAGGGTGCTGCTCTGCCTGTGGAGCCAGTTTTCGGAAGCGAGTCATCTGAAAACGAGACAAAGCATCAGAAATTTGGTTAATATGACCAGGTACATGTTTAGCACTAAAATGAAAATTAAACTTAGCTGCACACCATGTTAGTTGACGCATAAGTTTCATGATTTCTAAACATTTAGAGCGTCCCTTTCTGACAATAGCAACAGTAGCTTCATTATCACACCAAAATAATATCTTTTTACAGGGCCAGAGGTGGCCCCATAACAATGCTGCTACTACAATAGGGTATAACTCAAGGAAAGCCATTGACAAATTGTCAGTTAAAGTAGGTAAATTAACAGGCCAAAATGAAGAGAACCATTTGCCTTGAAAATATCCCCCAAAGCCTATTGTAGAAGCAGCATCTGTATATAATTCAAAGTCATAACTGGATGTAAAATAACAATCATGAAACATAGTGATGCCATTCCAGTTTGACAAAAATCTCAACCAAAATTCTAAATCTACCTTACATTCTTTAGTTAAATGTACAAATTCATTTAAATGTTTAACAGTAGTTGACAAATTAATTGGGTACGACAAAAAAGATCTGCCAGGTAAAATAACTCTTGTGGCAAAATTAAAATGTCCTAACAACTGTAATAACTGTCTCTTTGTACAAGATGATTTTGACAATAATTTGGAAATAAACTCACATATTCTCTGTACTTTAATATTTGGAAGTCTTGCTTCCATTTTGTTTGAATCTAAAATAATACCTAAATACTCTAGACAAGTAACTGGTCCTTCAGTCTTGTGTTTGGCTATTGGAATATTTAAACGTTTAAAAATGGTCATCATTATAGCCATGCTTCTTTCACCATCTTCACTTGGGTGATCAATAGTAAGAAAATCATCAAGTAGATGCAAAATGTTCTTAATCTTATAATTTTTCTCTGCAATATGGCAAATTGCCTGTGACACTGTGTCAAAAATTTTAGGACTAGACCGGCAGCCAAAAGTTAATCTTGCATAATAATAATAAAAAGACTGCCATTTGAAACAAAATAAAGGCCACTGGGATGGCAAGTAAGGACAAATTTTGAACGCGTCGGATATGTCATATTTACATAGTGTACTGTTCCTTCCTAATTTTAGAATAATTCTTATAGCGTCATCAATTTTAACATAAGACATGGAACATTCTTCTTTATCAATCATATCATTAATACTTAGAAAACTGTCATTGTCATGTGGAGATGACAGATCTAAAATCAAACGTTTCTTCCCAGAGTATTTTCCTTCAGCAACACCCAGTGGACTCACTCTATAATTTGCAAAAGGTAAGGACTGAAAAGGTCCATGTACAAAGCCTTTTTGGCATTCAGTTTTAATTAACTCTGATACAACTAAAACCTGAGACCTTGCAGAAAAATTATTTTTACACTCTTTAGATTCTGAAATTTCCCCTTGAACTAAACAATCAAAACCTTGTCTCAGACCATTACATAGATATAATACAAAATTTTTATCAGGATGTGATGATAACTCTTCCTCTAATTTATCAACATTTACTGGTGTTGAAGCTTCACAAAAGAACTTTTCCTTGGATAGTCATCCTGAATTTGGTTTCTCCAATTTATTTCCCTTGGAGGACACTGAAGATGTTGAAGAATGAACAGGCACATTGCTATTGGATTTCCTACAGGTTGCGGCACCATGGCCTGTTGCACGACATTTTGTACACTTGTGGAGGAGATAACACACTTTCCTATAACAACCTTTAGGATTATTGAAATTATTGCACATTTCCAGACCTTCATGAAATACTCTTGAACGACCTTGCTTGTCTACGGATTGTAGGTTGCTAGATGAATATGATCTTGAAGAGGAATTTTCAACCTGGACTGATGATTGCAATGGGCAGTATTGTGTAGCATGATCAATTAAATTACAGATTTTACACACGTTTACTGAGGATCCCGCTGTTATCAAAGAAAGGATGTCACGATCACGAAGGCTCCAATCAACCTTAACATGCCTTTCCCTCAGAAGTGCTGCTGCCTTTGCTGTAAAAATTTTATGATAGTCATAAAATTTTGGGCCATAGAAATTATTAATGTTAATAATGTCAGCTTCATAGGCATCTAATTCATCCCGACGGTCTGGGTAGGCACCACACATAATTCTTTTGAATTTTCCAAAAGCTTGAATAAACTCTTGGATTGATAGATGCCTGTTTAATCTTGGGTCTGCTTTATTTGCTAAATTGACATGCACCCCGTCTGCAATTATGGAATGGTTTACAGGAGACTCAAAATTGGGAATAAGGAGAGCGCCTAAGTTTACATCCTTACCCTCAATAATGCTCCTTTGTAATGATGGAGACACAATATCCACATTTGAGAATGCATCAGATCGGACTCCAGCTGTAGGGCACAGAGTTGTGGACAAATATCCAAGAGATGGTGTTGTTGACAGTGGCAGTGGTGGGCGGTTCTGTACGGATCCGTGCACGGCTAGTGGTACGTCCTCCATATTTCTATTCTGGTACCACTGCGCTAGATCAAATTTCTTTGCAGGACCGCTTTCTGTACTTTTTTGGTTGGCGATAAGGCTGACTGTCTGTTGGAGACCTGACGCACATTGTGCTACAGTCTGCGACACTATACTGAAAGATTGGATAATGGCAGCCATGTTTGATGCCACCGACGCTGTCGAACTGCGCACTTCCGGTTGAATCGTTGACATCGCTCCGCGAACTACTTTCATCAGCTGTTGGATTACGCAATCCGTCGGTATCATTCGCGGTACTGTCTGAGGCACTCACGGAGTGTTGTGCTATAGGATTCAGCACTACATGTTCTGGATCACTAACATGTTTCTCGTTCTGGGCGATATTACCGTTACTATTTTGGCGATCTTTATTTTCTAAATAAAATTGTTTAAGAACGGTTTTAGCAACATTTTTGGGTACAACAATCCCCAACTGCTGCAGTTTTATCCTAAGTTGCTGTGACGTCCAATTGTCTGGATTATTTAAGTCCAAATGTCTATTTGAATACGGTTGATTTCTTGAATTTCTTCTGGAAGCCATAATTATTGAAAGTTCAATATCTTTGTAACAGTTACTAAAATGTTCTTTGAAATTGCTAAGTAAAAGTGAATGTTAAATATAGCAATTTTTTAACACAAAGTTTCTTTTAGTAAGATAATCGCAAAAGTCCAATATCGAAAGTTTCTTTTAGTTCGTACTCACATATATGAAGATAAACGCAAAAGTCCAAAAAACTGAATATTGCAATAACATATGGATATTAACACCTAGTTAATATTATACTTGAATATTTTGTAACTTTATGATAACTAATGTATGACTTTCCCTGTCAGCAGCAAAACTCAAAATGAACAACTACCTAGCTTCCTGGGGAAATTTGAGAAGGGTATGTATCACTCCTTTGCCTTATAACCAAATAAGGAGTGATCATGCAGCCAGAGGCATGTCAGTACCAAACATTTGCTACACACATGCAAACTATGATGTGTCATCAATAAACAACACTTATACATAATATAAGCTTCTATGAACTACTTGGAACACTTTACTTTGCTTCAAGACATCCATTGGAAAGAAAATTATATTACTAGTTTGCTCATATGCAAATTTGTGAAATCCAATTGACTTTTCTTTCAAAATTGATATTCAGAAGACAATTTTGTTCATCTATGCAAAATCTTATTTCCTGAACTCTCTTCATGTTGTGAAGTCAAAATTGTTGGCTTATCAAAATACCTTGAACAAAATATTGTTAAAAGTGGTGAAGATATCATCATTATAGTATAATGACTCTTGAGGTGGGGAAGTGTAGCAGTGCTTCCACTTACCTGGTAGATTTATAACTGTCCTTCATTAGCTGTGCTAGTGAAGTCCTCTGTTAGCTCAGTTGGTAGAGCGATGGCTTACTATGCATGGGGTACTGGGATGGAATACCGTCTTTTATCTTACCTCCTATACATTTCTAGGAATATGATTGGTTAAAAGCTTCCGCGTGGAGATGGTGTATATTCCATATTAGGTTAGTAGGGAGGCGTGGCTTATGTCATACACGGTTAGTAGTGGTGTTACGTCCCTTTATAAAAACAAAACGGTACTGAGAAAAAATCTTAAAGGTTTCAACAGACGAAGAAATTGATGATGAAGATTGAAATAAATTCATAAAACACATTTAAACCTAAGAAGTTGTTATTGTTGGCATCTGTTTTTGTAGGATCAATGAAAGTAGTTTCTTAATGCTAACGGTATTGAAGACTTGCTCATTTTGATAGGTCACTACTCTAAATTTCACTCGTTAAGATAGTCGGTAAGATAAATTCGTTACATAGTGTGCTAATGACGTAATACTGTATATATGGGGTCAGTAAATTCATATGGGGAATTGAGCTTTGCTCTCACCCCATATGGAATTTACTGACCCCATATATACCGTATTAGATCACTAACACACTATTTAACTAATATTACAGTAATTAATTTTGGAAGGCTTTCCCATTAAAAATATTCACTTGTTTTCTTGTAGGTGAACTCAAAGCTGATTGATGTACATGTTCTAATGTCTGCTCAGTTATTGGTAGATATGGCTGCCACCACTAGTCGTACTCTTCTACAACACTTATACCAATACATTTTGTTCGACTTCAGAATCTGGAGTAAAAGTAATTTTCCAATACGTATAGGTAAGAAAATAACGTAACCTGTCAATAATTTTGTTGTAAAAGAATACAAGGACACTATTTCATCATTTACAAAAGACCAAACTATATTGATATTACAAAGGTATCAAAAGTGGAACATCACCATGCCTCAAAGGTAGATGCAGGACAAAAAATTATGTAAAAAAAACATTCTTATCTTTTTTTCAAAAATATAATAATTTCAGATACATGAAATATTGATATTTATGAGTTTTTTTTATCTCTTGCGCCTTGCACTGCGGGGATATGGTAAGGGTCTTCGTCCATCAGAAACACATCAATACTAAATTAAGAGACCTTTTTGATATACAGCTTTCATACTTGGCAGGATTATTTGTCGTCATATTCTCTCTAACCATGCTTTACCATCAGTTTGATTTGACAATTTTGACAGGAGTTATGGGACTCTGACCACTTTTTTACAATGACACTTTGTGAATATAACTCCTCGGAGTCCACTTTAAAGTAACAGCTCATACTTGGTAGGATTGATTGCCATGATTTGAAGTTGACCATATTGACTGACATTTTGATTCAACCATTTTTCCAGGAGTTATTGGACTTTTTTAAGTATTGTAACAATGACACCTTGTGAACACAAACCCTTTGAGACCTTAGTAGGGTTGTCTGCCATTATGTGTTATTGACCATATTGTACCGCTATTTTGATTTAATTATTTTTACAGATTAAATAGGACTCCTACCATTTTTTTAGCTCACCTGGCCGCTGGCCAGTGTGATCTTTTGCCATCACTTGGTTTCCGTCATCTGTTGTTGACGTCCGTTTACAAAGATCATCTCCAATGCAACTACTGGGCCAAATTTAACCAATCTTGGCCACCATCATTATTGGGGTATCTGGTTTATAGAAATGTGTCTGATGACCCCACCTGCCAACCTGACTAAAAATTGATCAAAGGGGTAAAATGCAAATTTTGTCTATTATCTTGAAAACCACTATAGATAGAAATAATCTGACAGGAGCAAAAATGTTCTGAAAAATGAGTTCTACCTTCTGTATGTATACATCAAAACTGTCAGACGATTTCCTGAAGGTGTTATTGCCCTTAAATGAAGAATTTTTTTTTCATTTTTGCCCATGTCTTGAAAATTATTATAGATAGAATTAAACTTTACATAGGCAAATGATCAGCAAAAGCAAGGGAGTCGTCAGGTAAAACCCTTTTGTTGACTGATTTGGCCTTCATATAGAGGTAAAAGATAGATTTTCATTTTTATACGACCGCAAAAAAATTTTGCAGTCGTATATTGGTATGACGTTGGTGGCTTCATCGTCGTCGTCGTCCCAAGACACATTGGTTTTCGCACAATAACTTTAGTTTAAGTGAATGGATCTCTATGAAATTTTGCCATAAGGTTCAATACCACAAAAGGAAGCTTGGGATTGATTTTGGGGGTTATGGTACCAACAGTTAACGAATTAGGGGCGAAAAAGGGGCCAAATATAAGCATTTTTGTAACTTCCAGACAATAACTTGTGTTAAAGTGTATGGATCTCTCTGAAATTATACCACAAGTTTCCATACCACAAAGGCTTTGGGGGGTTATGGCTCAAACCGTTTAGGAATTAGGGGCAAAAATGGGAAAAAACAAGGGTTTCCTGGTTAATGGACAATTTAAAAGCAGTTTAAGGAAGGGATTCCAAAAACAAAATGATACAATGTTGTACAATGTTGGACTACCTCCCTTACACTGCTTTTAAATTATCTATTTAAGACTTTTATGATGTTTTTAAATTGGTAATTATGGTTGCAAACTCCATTGGAAATTTTTTTTTTTCATTACAGATTTCAGAATTCCTTCAAATATTTTTTTTTTCAGAAAGTACTATAGGTAAATTTACTACTAATTTATTTTAGACTGGAAAACAGGCATCTTTTGTAATTTTGATAGTGTTTTTGTTAAAGTCCAAGATATTTTAAAGTTGATTAGAGTGTCTTCTGAGGTCATCTGGATCATTAATTAGATGGCGCCTAGTGTAAAATACGCATAAAATGCTTATCCATTATCACAAGTCCATGCGTTGTTGATTGTTTCTTCCTCTTTGATTCTGACTAATAATTAACAAACATGCTGTCAAACATTTTATTTCAAATCATTGTTTGTAGTTTATAAAAGGTTTATATTATAAAACCTTATCATTATGGGAATAAGAAAAAAAATATGGACATCTTTGACAGTGGCATCAAAAAGGAATAGTCATCTCTTCATCAGCCAATGTGTCTGATCTTTATGTCACACATCTGACAATATTTTTGCTTTGTGGGACACACACAGTAGCTGTTTTAGAAATTTGGCATCAAAGGTCATGTAAGCATGCTTATACTATGTGATTCCAATTCATTGATCACTAACTTCCTGTTTACCAAATATCACTATATTATTATTACACATAATGGCCATGTGTGAGATTTTCATCAGATTTTTCTCAGGGACAACAAATCCTGAGCGTTCTGAAATTTGGAATCAAGCTTCTTGTGAGCATGCTATTCAGTGTGATGTGTTTTCACATCCTTTGCTCATCAACTTCCATTTTACTGAATACTTATATTGGGGTATCATTTGTGAGCAATAGTTCACAGTTCAAATTGTTATGTTTATATGACAAAGGCAGTTTATATTTGTATGCTTACAGTACACATGTCCTTTCTGTATTTTGTAGGACACATCCAGTATCTTTCTACAATAATAAAAGATGACAAGAAGTACTTCAGGAAGAAGTTTGGTGTACAGTTCATATTGGATGTAATCAGAATGTACTATAGGTAGGTTTGGTGTACAGTTCATATAGGATGTAATCAGAATGTACTATAGGTAAGTTTGGTGTACAGTTTATATTGGATGTAATCAGAAGGTACTATAGGTAAGTTTGGTGTACAGTTCATATAGGATGTAATCAGAAGGTACTATAGGTAAGTTTGGTGTACAGTTTATATTGGATGTAATCAGAAGGTACTATAGGTAAGTTTGGTGTACAGTTTATATTGGATGTAATCAGATTGGTGTACAGTTTATATTGGATGTAATCAGATTGGTGTACAGTTTATATTGGATGTAATCAGAATGTACTATAGGTAAGTTTGGTGTACAGTTTATATTGGATCTAATCAGAATGTACTATAAGTAAGTTTGGTGTACAGTTTATATTGGATGTAATCAGAAAGTACTATAGGTAAATTTACTACTAGTTTATTTTAGACTGGAAAACAGGCATCTCTTGTAATTTTGATAGTGTTTTTGTTAAAGTCCAAGATATTTTAAAGTTGATTAGAGTGTCTGGATATGTTGTCAAGCAACTTGGTCATCTTTTTTTTAGTATGAAATTCAGAGTCAATTTTTTTTAAACTGTCAAATTCATGCCAGAATTAACAGCTTAAATAAACCTGAATCAACCAAAGTACAGCATGCATTACCTTAAATATCATACTCATTTTGAAAAGAGCGTAAGTACAGATTTTGCAGTGAAGCAGCTTAAAATTTAAAGTATTTGAATGAAACAAAATTAAAAAAATTTAGGAACCAACCATGCTTCTTTTTCTTCTCAGACAATAAATGGAGTTTCAAGGGAATTATGGATATAAAAAGAATGAGCATTCACAAAACCAAGTTTCTTCTGTTTTGCAAGTGGCAGTAAAACACAAATTCATACTGGTACACATACTGGTACACATTAAAGTGTTTTAATATGGCTGAAAATTGTCTTACTAATGTAATTTGGCATTGAATTATTTCCTTTTATATGATTTAGCGTCTCAATTTAGTACATTTTGAAGGGAGTAAACTTACTGCATGCATATTGTGTAGTCAATCAAAGCACATGTTTGACTTCGCGAAAAAAACTATAAGTTTAAAGATTATATTGTCAATAGTATTTGCTAAAAGATATAAGATGAAGTAAATTGTCTGATGTTTTTCAAGTGTAAACACAAGTAAAAGTGATTGGCAATCATTAGCCTGATATAATTCCTCATGGAAATTAAAAATGTAACTTGAAAAGCTCTGTAGATTATTATACAGAGTGACAGTAAATGCATGGTAATCAGGATTTAGTGACCTGTGACAAAAAACAGCTTTTGACTGACTAGTCTGACTAGAGAGATTTGAAAATGTCTGAGCTTGTTAATTTTTAAATTGATTTCCATCATTTCAATTTAGAATAGGTCACAAATGTCAACTATGACTGTTTCCAGATCATTAGTCTGAAGTAAATTAAATTTAAATATCAAAATTTTTAATCCTCTATCAGATAAACATAATAATGAACAAAAGACATATAAAAATAAAAAAAAAACAGTATTATAAACAGAAGAAAAAACCAAAACTGATGGATATAACATGTGGAAAAATGGAACGACGTAATTCCAATTAAAAATCATATAAGACAACCAAATATTTTTTAATATTTCATATTTTACAGTTCTGTACGAGATAGTGGTCTTTCGTCAGAAGATTCTAAACAGATCCGTGTATCTTTATTTAGCCTAGTGAAGTTTTATATAGCAAGGGAAGTAACTGCTGATGAACTTTTACATATAATAGGTTTCCTAGTGGTGGCCAGGGAGGAAAATATGGTAGGTTTCAATATGTGAAATAAAAACTAACACAAAATCACCAAGAATTGATAGAATAGTCACCATAATGTCTTTATTCCAGAACAAGTGTTCCATATGACATGGTTAATCACCTTGAGTTTAGTTAGACAAATGAGGATGACCTCAACACTTTCTTCCATTTGGACTTGTGTGATATTGATAATAAGATCTTGATTTTAAGAGAATGTTCAGGGCTATATCAAAAAAATATTATTGGAGGTTGGAAATCAATTTTCATTTTGGGTTAACACCTACAGAATTAATTTAAAAGGGGTACTTCCACCAGAATGGAAATAAATTTTGTTAAAATTGGATTCTGCTGGTCAGGTTTGAAAGCATAAGTAAGATGATCTGGCAGTTTTATGGAAGTAATTCTTATTGACAAGACTTAAGTTTTCAGTGATGTTGCTGTTTACATGTGCACATATATTTGTGATTATGTACAGGTCTTTGACTAATCCTTGTTGCACAGTTGACTCTTGGAGATTCTTAACTGGACATACATGTCTGTAGGTTGATGATTTATGGAAACTGACAGATTGCTTACCATATTCACTGTAATGGAAGTTAAATCCATTTAAATAAAGCTGTTGATACTTTATTTTACAAACTCAGTTCCACTGTTTTTAGGCAACTGGTAAACCAGTCTGTAAAAAATAACATCGTCTAACCTCCTTGTGAGACAACGTTCTGAATGGTTAAAACTTGGGCCTTACTTAATACATCCAGTAATGGAATTATTCATGAGTCTAATCAGCATGGATAATTTAACAGATATTGAATAGATTTGTTGTTAAAATTTTAAAGGGGCACTAGCTGTCAAATTCATGTTCACCGATTTGACTCAAATTCTCATATTTGATTTATAACAATGTAAAACATTTATCTAAATTATAAAAAGTCAAAAAATAATCAATTTACAGGGCATGGGCTCGATAATATGTAGCTTCGTTTCGTGTGTATTTTAGTCTAGACGCCATCTAATTAACTATCCAGTTGACCTCCGAATACCTCCGATGGCCATATAAGCAATACATGTATAAACATAAATATAGATATAAATAGAAACCGGACTGATGCAATTGGATTTTTCTAGGTCTGTTTAATTTCATATTATAGATTAAAAATATATATTAATCATTGTTTTTACCTGTATAAGAATGATTTTTTTGTGGATCGAATCAGTCAATCAAATGATTTACCTTTGTTTCACTTTCAATGTTGACATTCTTTTCCTTTAAGTAACTTAGCACGCACGATTCATGCATTATCCATCTCCAGCTAAGGGGTTAAATTGAAGTTCACATGAATACGGATTCAATGAGGTCGAATTATTCACTTGCAAGTGAATAATTCATAATCAATGTTTCTTAGCTTATTTTGACAAAATTGAACCATACTGGCTGCTTAAAGCGATATATTATTTCACTATACATGTATCACTTTCATTAATGATTGAACAAAAAAAATCATATTTTATATTTTTTACATATCTCGTAGCTAGTGCCCCTTTAAATGCTTTGATCAATGTTTAGACGCAAAACTCATATGGTGTTACTGCTGTTTTTTGTTGAAACAAAGGGCTTTGGACTTTGGAAATTTTGTGAAAATAACAGTTATACAGACTTTTTTAGCTCACCTGGCCTGAAGGGCCAAGTGAGCTTTTCTCATCACTTGGTGTCCTTTGTCCGTCGTCGTCCGTTGTCATCGTCGTCGTCGTCGTTAATTCTTACAAAAATCTTCTCCTCTGAAACTACTGAGCCAAATTTAACCAAACTTGGCCACAATCATCATTAGGGTATCTAGTTTAAAAAAATGTGTTCGATGACTCCACCTGCCAACCAACATGGCAGACATGGCTAAAGATAGAACATAGGGGTAAAATGCAGTTTTTGGCTTATATCTCTGAAACTAAAGCATTTAGAGCAAATCTGAAGGGGGTGGGTTAGAGGGGGGTAAAAATGTTCATCAGGTTAACTCTTATCTGCCCTGAAATTTTTAGACGAATCAGACAACCCTTTGTTGGGTTACTGCCCCTTAATTGGTAATTTTAAGAAAATTTTGCAGTTTTTATACGACCGCAAAAATTGAAAATTTTTTTGTCGTATATTGGTATGACGTTGGCGTCGTCGTCGTCTTCCGACGTCGTCCGAAGACACATTAGTTTTCGCACTCTAACTTTAGTTTAAGTTAATGGATCTCCATGAAATTTTACCATAAGGTTCAATACCATGAAAGGAAGGTTGGGATTGATTTTGGGGGTTATGGTACCAACAGTTAAGGAATTAGGGGCCAAAAAGGGGCCAAAAATAAGCATTTTTGTAACTTCCAGACAATAACTTGTGTGTAAGTGTATGGATCTCTCTGACATTGTACCACAAGGTTCCATATCACATAGGGAAGGCTGTAATTGATTTTGGGGGTAATTGCCTCAAATTTTTAAGATAAGGGGCCAAAAAAGGGGCAAAAAACAAGCATTTTTCTAGTTTCATGACAATAACTTGTGTGTAAGTGTTTGGATATTTCTTAAATTGTACTACAAGGTTCCATATCACAAAGGGAAAGCTGGAATTGAGTTTGGGGGTAATTGCCCGAAACGTTTAGGAATTGGGGGCCAAAAAGGGGCCAAAAATAAGCATTTTTCTAGTTTCCAGACAATAACTTGTGTTCAATTGTATGGATCTCTCTGAAATTGTACTGCAAGATACCATACCACAAAGGGAAGGCTGGGATTGAGTTTGGGGGTGATGAATCATAAGGGGGTTCAAAAAATTTGGGGGGGGGGGGGGTTCTTTTTTTTTTCTTTTTTTCCTTTTTTTTTTCTTTTAAAATTTTCCATTTTAAGTTGGTTATTTCTGATTTATATTTAAAAGCAAATAATAATGATATGGTAGGAAATACACACCAAACAGGATGTGTAAATTATTATACAATAAGTATTGTGCAATAGCAAGAAATTTTCAATTGCACAGTATTGCACAATAGCAAGAAATCTTCAATTGCACAGTATTGCGCAATAGCAAGAAATCTTCAATTGCACAGTATTGCGCAATAGCAAGAAATATCCAATAGCACAATATTGCGCAATAGCAAGAAATTGTCAATTGTACAGTATTGCGCAATAGCAAGAAATATTCAATTGCACAGTATTGTGCAAAAGAATATACTTTGTATAAATTGTTTATTTCTTGATCAATTTCAATGGGGTTTTATTCTTGAATTCTTGGGGTTCTTTAATATGCTGAATCTAACCATGTATTAAGTTTTTGGATTTTGGGCCCTGTTTTTAAATTGGTCCACATTGAGGTCCAAAGGGTCCAAAATTTAACTTTGTTTGATTTCATCAAAAATTGAATTATTGGGGTTCTGTGATATGCCGAATTTAACCGTGTATTTAGATTCTTAATTTTTGGTTCCGTTTTCAAATTGGTCTACATAAAGGTCCAAAGGGTCCAAAATTAAACTGAGTTTGATTTCAACAAAAATTGAATATATGGGGTTCTTTGATATGCTGAATGTAACCATGTATTTAGATTTTTGATTATGGGCCCAGTTTTCAAGTTGGTCCAAATCGGGGTCCAAAATTAAACTTTATTTGATTTCAACAAAAATTGAATATATGGGGTTCTTTGATATGCTGAATCTAACCATGTATTTAGATTTTTGATTATGGGCCCAGTTTTCAAGTTGGTCCAAATCGGGGTCCAAAATTTAACTTTGTTTGATTTCAACAAAAATTGAATATATGGGGTTCTTTCATATGCTGAATATAACCGTGTATTAAGTGTTTGGATTTTGGGCCCCGTTTTTGAATTGGTCCACATTGAGGTCCAAAGGGTCCAAAATTTAACTTTGTTTGATTTCATCAAAAATTGAATTATTGGGGTTCTTTGATATGCCGAATCTAACCGTGTATTTAGATTCTTAATTTTTGGTTCCATTTTCAAATTGGTCTACATAAAGGTCCAAAGGGTCCAAAATTAAACTTAGTTTGATTTTAACAAAAATTGAATTTTTAGGGTTCTTTGATATGCTGAATCTAAACATGTGTTTAGATTTTTGATTATGGGCCCAGTTTTCAAGTTGGTCCAAATCGGGGTCCAAAATTAAACTTTATTTGATTTCAACAAAAATTGAATATATGGGGTTCTTTGATATGCTGAATCTAACCATGTATTTAGATTTTTGATTTTTGGGGCCCCGTTATCAACTTTGTCCACATTGAGATCAAAAGGGTCCAAAATTAAACTTTGTTTGATTTCATCAAAAATTGAATTCTTGGGGTTCTTTGATATGCTGAATCTAACCATGTATTTAGATTTTGGATATTGGACCATAATAGGTGAATGTCCAATTTAAAATTTTTAAGTTCTTAGACCACATTCATTCTGTGTCAGAAACCTATGCTGTGTCAAATATTTAATCACAATCCAAATTCAGAGCTGTATCAAGCTTGAATGTTGTGTCCATACTTGCCCCAACTGTTCAGGGTTCGACCTCTGCGGTCGTATCAAGCTGCGCCCTGCGGAGCATTTTATTGGTTATTATCTTGAATATTATTATAGATAGAGATAGACTGTAACAGCAATAATGTTAAGTAAAGTAAGATCTACATACAAGTCAACATGACCAAAATTGTCAATTCACTCCTTAAGGAGTTATTGCCCTTTATAGTCAATTTTTAACAATTTTTCGTAATTTTTGTAATCTTTTACAAAAATCTTCTCCTCTGAAACTACTTGGCCAAAATCATCATCAGGGTAATTAGTTTAAAAAAATTTGTCCGATGACCCCGCCTGCCAACCAACATGGCCGACATGGCTAAAAATAGAACATAGGGGTAAAATGCAGTTTTTGGCTTTTATCTCTGAAACTAAAGCATTTAGATCAAATCTGACATGAGTTAAAATGTTCATGAGTTTTAGATCTATCTGCCCTGAAATTTTCAGATGAATCAGACAACCCGTTGTTGTGTTGCT